TTGTAATGTTGTGCCACCAGGTTGTATACCTACCTGCAAAAATAATAAATCTATATATCTAAGATCAAATTGAAGCATCCAGTGAGAGAGGGGGGTAACCCGCAAACTGCAAAATGTCGGTTTATGTGGTATTTGATGAGGAAAATATTGAATTGAAGACTTGAAATAGAAAAGGAAGTAAGAGGCATTTCTTTTAAATTTACGTTTTGCCAGAAGAATAGTGAATGAATAAAGCTCTATGACATTAATAAGAAGCAAAGTACAAACGCATCTCTTGATATTGTTACGGGGTGATTATAAATGACAACAGTTTTATGTACCAATAGGATTAACGTATATGTAAACTCATTTTTCTCGAAAGTATAAATATGGCACTTACATACTTTTTTTATTTCAAACCTTCAATTTATAAATAAATGAATTTTTGAACTTTGTGGGTTAGCTCCTGCTCTCACAGGATGTCTCAATGACTGTATATTTTGTGATTTGGGCGCCTACTATCATTGCTTACTAATGGATTGATTCATTTATGGATTAGTGTTTCCGGGTACGTCAACTGCTATGGTCATTATTCTCGTGTTGTACACGTTTCTCATCGCGTGAGGTGGCGGCCATCTTCTCCCGCTGGCTGGCGAGATCCGGCGCCGAGCTACGTCGGCTTGCGGGGGTTTTCCCCAACCAGGTATCTTCCGTCAGCGCAGAGCACATTAAAATATTCCTGCCGCTTGATTTCACCGCGGATAAATATGTTGGGATAAGTAGAACATTAATTTTACCTGAAAGTGTGACTCATATTTAAAAGAACAAACGTCGCATTTAATTTCTAACAAACAAGTAAACTTACTTGTCAATGCGTTCTTTAAGTAACCTGATCAAGTCACAATTGCAATTTATTACTTCATATTACGATATATTATTGCGCTGTAAAATATATTGACTCTTGGGATCCTTTCTTATCAATGTCGAGTTTCAATCCACATCGGTAAACAGGTTATTGCCATGTAAATCCGATTAAGCTACTACTGGAGAGAACCGTCAGAGGTGCCTTTTCTGTTGTTCAATCGCTTTCCTCGGTCTGGGTATGCGTGCAGTTTGTGTCTGTATGTAAGGGGGGTATTGTAAGCTATAACTGCATTTGAAATCAGTAATAATAATAAAAAGTTCATGCGAGGAAATAAATATATTCTTTCTCTATCGGATTTGATTGGATTCTGGTTCAAGAAGATTTTAGTTACATGTGTTCTGTCAATTAAAGATGAAATAGGAATTGTAGACAACGCTTTGTCAAATGAAATTTTAGTAGCTTAGTGTTTGTATCACTTGTAACTTTATGTCTAGTGTTACACTCTCTTCCATTCAACTCGAAAATAACTATTGATGCTACAACAGTACATACGTCCTCACAGTATTGAAAACGGTTACGTAAAGTTATAATATTGTAATTTCTGTCCCTACAAATTCAAACGAAGCGTCTGCAGTGCATAACTGCAATTATTTTGATAGCCGGAAGCAGTAGTCATTTCTTACTTCTACAAAAGAAAGAAATATGAATAAATCTCAACTGTTTCAGTATTTGCAGCCCGTCATGCAGAGAGAAGACAGAATAATTTCATACAAGCTTTCCTTGTTATATCAAAGTGAGCTTCCAAAATTTGAATTTCATAATCATCGATCAAACAGTTTTAAAATAAAATAAATGTGGTAATTAAATATCCAAATCTGCAAGCCATCCAATTTATCACCTTATGAATGCATATAAATAAGTTTATAAATTTAACGCCTTTTATCATTTAAATATTATATTTGGAACACAATAGAAATGTTGGTACAAAACTAATTCTTGTAAAGCAAATGTATCACAAATTCATCATTTGAGCATCGTCACTCTTAGGGCGTTGTGTGAAATATATTCAAAATATATACGCAAGTAGTGTCATTACGTAATGTTCATTTTATGTATAGGTATTTTTTATTATCTCTATGTATAATCTGCCCAACTGTAATTTAGTTGAATGTACTATTTTACTGAACGTAGAGACATTGTAACATTAAAGTTAAATATAAGAATGTAATAAGCCTCCTTATCGTTCCATTCACACCGTCTAGAAATGAGAAGAAGAAGAAGAAATTTCAAACTGCCGAATCGCAACGTTGCCAGTTTCGAATTGCAACGATAGTAAAGTTTCCAGTTTCGAATTCGACGTCTCGTTAAACGAAGCGAGCAAAAATCAAATTTGCAACTTCCGAAATTACGCTAAACTTCACAATTTTTTTAAATGTACTTGACACTAGTTAGGAACCTATTTTTTAGAACAGATTTCATTTAATAAAAACATTTTTCTTTAATAATTATTCTTGTCGTTTCAGCATATGAATATTAAATCAGCATAAATATACATAAATTGTTACAAATAATGCCTAAAATCATCTCCTCACATTAACCGCGAAACAAAATAAAATATAATCTTGAAATCGGCGAAACTAGAGCTAGACGTGCTTGTTTTGATTTGTAATGACCAATGAAGCTATGTGCCTAAGGTCAGATTCTTTAACCCCTCATCATTGTGATATGTAATACCATTCAATGTCAAAATATGAACGAAATGGTCGGATTGCAGTGAATACAAGAAATTTTATATTCTGTACTTAAATATTGTGAAGTTCATGAAACTTATGGATTTAGAAAGAGTTTTAACTCAATTCTGCAAGTTGTAATGTTGTAATGTTGCATTGTTGTAAATTGTGAATACACGATGGAGACTATTTAATTATGGCATAGCATCAATTTTGGGCAGATGGGGTAATGGTAATAGTTCTACGGTCAGAATATCAACATGACAATCCATCGGGTTCATCCGGTATAGCGATAATGCCCAGTGTTGATAATAATGATATAAACTAGTGGTGAGTTGTGAATATTGTGTATATGATGGGTTAAAAGGCAGGGAAAATGTGATAACCTGTAAAACTATACTACGAACATCCTTAACCCCTCACAAGTTCTACATAGATCTTTCATGGTATAATACAAAGAATGAGATCTGCAATATACTTTTCTCTTTTATCCGGATTTACATGTACATACGGGCCTGGTTAATGGAGTCCCAAAGCATCACTTTTCACAATGGAGGTAAAGTAGTGTCAAATCAATTTTGGTTTAAATCTAATTGTGTGTCAAGTACTAATATTGCGGTCGAGTACCAATCCATTAATACCGAATGATACAAATATCGAAAAGTGTTCCTGAGAGTGTAGGCTTCCGAGGCCGGAGTCAGTGTCTACTTGATTGTCCAGGGCACGCCGCGTCCTAGGCAGAGACGCCAACGTTCCGGCCGTCATGCTACGGCCTTCCTCAAGATGAAATGCTCGCCCTTTATTTGTCCTGAAGACGTTTGCACCTTGACAGCCAAACCATAGTCATCTGTGCCTTCCACATGACGAATCCCGGCCAGCCAAGTAGATAAAACGTTTGTGGTTGCCCTTATCGTCAATGTCTTGGTACGTAGCTCTGCTCTGAGAGCGTCCGATACAGACCTGGTAGCGACGCGCCCTCTAATAGAGGCGTCCCCTTGTCGGGACAAAGGTGAGCAACGGCTGTTCGTCCTGGAGAAGGCACAGACAAAAAGTCGCTGACGGAAGAAATCTAGTAGCGGTAATCGGACGAGTAAATCTGAATGTTTTTGAGCGTCTTCGGGAAACGGTTAAAGACGAGATTCACAAACACAGGCGGGTAAACGTATCCCTAACGCAAGTATTATTTTAAAGAATAGCTAAAGCCCAAGAGGTAAATGAAACAATGTGCTGTATTTAGCGGAAACTCAAATTTTTTTCATGTGTACGTCATCATCTTAGAAAGGTAAGTGTTTAAAGTAAGCCTTTAAGTAAGTGTAAAAGCCTTTCAAATGTGTTTCAAAAAATGCAACTTCATGCAAGGGCATAAATGAGTATTTATAACCCAACAAAAATTGAGTTGTTTTTCTTTCATTTACAAAAAATGGAGAGGTACTAACGAAAGCCATGTCAGTCAAGTTATCTGGACTTAATATTAGCATAAAGTGAAATTTTTGCGTTGGAGGAAGACACAGTAATTGTTTAATCAAGAAAATTACAGCTATGCCGCTGACTTGGAAATGCGCGAGCAAAGCAAGTCAAATTAGCAAATTTTTGATAGTTCCCGGCCTCAGGACATCAACTGTTGTCGCTGTATTGCCTATGAAAGGGCGGTCCTAGGGTTTAAATCGCGACGGAGGCAGGATTTTCGAGACTAGCTTGTCAGTTACGTCGATAAGAGAATTCTAGCGGCCGACAGCTCTCATCGGTAGTATTCCGTGGTTTCTCCCAGCAAGACCAGGCGAATGCCGGAGCAGTACCCTAACAAACGGATCGCGTGCGATCTTTCCTTTCTCTTCCTTGTTTTATCTTCGCCCTTAGTTACTAACACACACTACTAACCACACAGTTACTAACCACACATGTCGGGAGTCCAGTAGGAAGTTTATATCTTGTCGCGGCTGGGACGGTGCCCCGATGGTGGGTGATATCTGATAGAGAAAACCTCGCTAGCGGACATGTAGGTCAGCACCGGATTTCGCCATCCAGCGAGAGATCACTGCCAACTCCCGCGTCAAAAAATCACTACTTACGGCACTAATGACCATAGCTGTTAACTCGCCTGGAAAGTCTAATCAATGAACCGACCGGAGCGGTGCCCCGTAGGAGGGAGATACTTAATTGGCAGAACCACACAAGCCAACATGTAAGTCGGACCCGGATCTCGCCATCCAGCCGGGGGGAACATCACCACCGCGTCCCATGACAAAAACATGCACTACTTTTACGAAAGTCATGAGCTTAGCAGTTGACGTGCCAAGCAAACACCAATCAATCAAACAATCGGACAACAAGCAAGCCTGCCATCTGCCCTTCACCCGCACGCACTCACCCCCTGGCCGGTCGTCGGCGGCGCGCTCCGCCCCCGCTCCGCCGCGCCCCCGCCGCCGCCCCCGCCTGCCGAGCCCGCGCTCCGCCGCCCGCGCCGGCGCCCGCGGTATGAGAGGGCCGTGGCGCCCGCCCGGGGCCGCCGCGCCCTCTGGCCCTTGAGCCTTCTTGGGCTTTCGCTTGCCGCGTCTGTATGCCGTCCTTGCGCTATGGCCAGCGGCCGGTTTGACGCCGTTGCAGCTTGAAGTAGAGGGCCGCACGCGTTTGCACACGGGCTCGCCCTCGTTGTTGCGCGCACAGGGTGGTGGCGCGCGTGCCGCAGTTGGTGCAGCACAGCCCCAGGCGCCGCGTCGCCGTCTGCAACGATTCAGTTAGGACATTAACACCGCAGCCAGCAGCAGCAAACATGCTACTCGAAAAAACTACACAAAAAGGTTTTCCACAACAAATAATAATAATTTCCACAATAAATTAAATAGGTCAACAAAAACTGAAACATTTTGTTTTGCATTTTTCTTCTGTTTCGACTAATAAGTCACTTTGTACCTTTTTATCTCATTTTACTGCTTTTTTTGCTGATTTCATCGATTTTAATATCGTTTGAATGGTACGCGCTTCAAACAATATTTACGAGGTGCAACAAATGATCACAGAATTCCTGAGTAGCTTTTTTGATTTCTTTGCTCATATATTGTAATGTAATCCGTTGTGAGTAGTATGGAATCTAAAGTACCTGTGGCGTTTATCGGCGTCATTGTGAGTTCGGCCGATTCCGCGATAATAAAGGCAGGGATTTTCTTTTAAAGAACAGTCCAAACTCAAAGTTTGCAAGCTGAGTTCACTTGAATGAAAGGAAGAAAGAAGCCTCAATTACATCAATAATATATCCAACAAGTTAAGTTTTTCATCTGAAGTGGATTTGATCAATTTTTTACGTCATTTTTCTTTGTTTTTAGGGCATTTTAAAAGAATTATAAGAGCATTTTATTTATCATATTTGGCAATATTTTAGGTCATTAAAATCCGCCCCTAGTCATCCCAAAAACTACTGCAACATACTAGTGTAGTATGCACACAGTGCAGCTATTCTTCACATACCAAGAATATCAAAAAGAGGGTGTTCCATAACAATCAGTGAATAGCAAATATTTAAAGACGTGCGGCCACCTCCGTGGATTCTTACTGTTAATTATGTAATGATAGTATAGACCCACTGAGTTCGATCATGTAGTCCCCGTATATGAGAACAGGCGGAATAATACAATCAACTATAGGAATATTTCAGTCAAAGTTGAATGTTTCGTTGTTTCTTTATTTTTCCCGACTTCCTGGGTATCTAACAAAATCGTAAAGACGTCGCCCGCGTTTCACACGGACTCGCCCTAGTCGCGCCGCCAGAGCACAGCCCCACAGTCTGAAACGAGGCGCGGGGATGTTAAGCCCTTAGGGCATTGACTAGTGGCTTACAGTAGCAAAACTTCTGCTGGACAACTTCACACAAAATGGTTTCCAAATGTAGATCAGGCCCACTGCTAAATAGCAACAAATAAAATATTTTCGAATATTACAACAATAAATTAAATAGCTAAACAAAAATCTTCACTAAGACTGTGACTATATAATGTGTACAAAACCACAGATCTTTACATACCAAGAATGTAAAACAGTTGCGCCATAACGCAACCTATTAATATCAAATATTTAATGGCATGTGGTCTTCCTTAAGGCCTTGGTGTCAGAATGCGGCAGCTGTGTCTTAAACAGTGACGCAGAGTATCAGAATTTAATCGGTAAGCGCAGTATAAATAACACAATTAAATATTTACACCCTTCAGTCAAAATAGAAGTTTGATTTTATATTTTTCCCGAGTTAGAATAAAGTAGCAATGAATATTTATTATGCTAGTTAATAATACATAGAAATATTTCCGTTGGAAGCAATTTCAAAATAGTTACTTCAAATAAATATCCTAACCCTATCACGCTACAGCAGACTTACTAATATAAAATAACACTAACAATATAAAATAATTAATTTTTAAGGTAACATATGTTGCAGGTAATTCGTTTCAAATTTGTTATTATATTCACAAATGAGAATTTACCTACATCTGTTCTCTGTTTTCTTTGCCGAATTTTCGAACCATGATCCTTCCGCGCGACATATGTTGAATTTGATAATAATGTTTGATAATTACACCTCCCCCTCCCCCATGGACGATCGCCAAGAGCCGATCAATAAGAATTAATGATTGAACAATCAATAAGAACTGATTTGTGTAACACTCAAAGTCGCGATTTCTCTCTCCGTTTTCCGAAAGTTCTACGGCGTATAAATTTAGAATTATAACGTCATTGTAACAAATTTTGAATTGTAACAAATTTTAGCACCATATTTTTAACACTTTGTCGAAAATATTTTATGGGTTGGATCTAAGCGATAGATGAGTCCAACAAATGAGTTAACATTTCGCCAGGTAACTGGGATACCTATATGAAATCGTAGACAACCTCACACTTAAACCGGAGGCTGCCAAGTTTTCTTTTGAATTTCAGTGCCGTGCATTGCAAATTAGTAATGTAGATGCCGTAGTGTGGGGCGTTTTATATTCCTGTAGGTCGCTCGTTCTTCTTCGTCTCTGATACGAAAGAGTTGCGCCGCCGCCGATTAGTTCATTGTTCATTATTCTGAATCAAGGCCAAAGACAGAAACAAGGCGCCTCAGCCCCCTTGCATGCCCAGTTGATTTAGATAACCAATAGTCGGAATCAAAAGTATTAGTGCCTGACCAGACCTAAATCACTAATTCAATCATTTACTATTCAATTATTATCCCCTCGTATATGAATGCGCCGAGGACATAGTGACGGGATTCTCCCTTTATAGAAAACCATTGACATAAAACCCCAAAGTGTATTACCACTGGATATGAATTGACCGCAATCTATACAGATTTAAGAGATAAAATAGAGTAGGTACGTACTGTACAATCATTGCTGTAGATTTTCCTCGCACTTGTGACATTCGGGAAATCAGGCCGCACATGCCAATCCGCAAGACATTTACTATCGTACTTAACTCGGAAACAATGGTCCTAGAAACTTAAACCTATATTTTAACGTTCTCAAGAGATACAAGAAAACGTTTCCTACACCGGTAAATCTAACAAAATAGGACTTTTTTGGCCATGTTTTATTACATTTGCTGTTTCATTCGTTATTTTTCCTTCATAAAGTAAACCAATACCATTATATTGGACAATAAGCAAAATGCTTCGCCCATCTTTAAACGTTTAAAAACTTCAGAGCTGAGAAAACAAAATCGCCAACAAATTCTACCTTGAACGTTAGCTTGCATTCTATTCGAATCTTCTGGTATGAGCACACGATAATACCCCAAAAACAAGAAAAAGAATGAAAGATCCAAGATATGTATAAGTATGACCAAATTACTGTCTTTTGATTTAAGCAGTGTAAAAATGATTTAGTCAAAACTGAATCAACTGTTTCTTACTGACTGGCAAGCATAATTAATACAAAACAGCATCAATATTGCAGCTGTGATTACAGCTCAGACGTCTTCGCTCATGTCGCCACCCGAAATAATTTAGCAATCTTTCTTTACCAACTGTTGTTATTCACACCGAAGTCTGTTTGCTGCGATTCACTAAAATCTATAGTAGTAATCTGAAATCCGAATTATTATTAAAAATCCAGAGCTGTGCTATTCATAAGTAAACAATGCTATTTGGTTTCTGTCGCAGCAAGGCTTCCCCAGTTTAACAAAATGGAAGCCTGATAGCGCATTTACCCTCATGGAATCTGGAGTCAATAAAAGTCACAATATTGTTATATAAGATAATGATAAAGCAATGGATTACATATTGTAAATAATGAAAAATAAGTAAATAAAACAATCCATGGTTTTTATAAAAAAAAAATCTCAGTCGCAAAGGCCAATTGGTAGTTGCTCGAATCAGATCTGAACGCACGAAACTAACTCACCCACATCTGTTAGATAACATAATGTCCTTAAAGTATGAATCACGTAACGAACATATCTCAATTGTCCATATCCATAAGTGATATACCTAATAGTGATATCAATGAACGACAATCAATCCTACAGAATGACAACCTTGAAATAATTTCATATTTTTGTGTTATTCAGAAAAATATATTAAAATTATGTAAAATATTAAACGTGAATATTTAGTTTTTATCGTGAAAAATTGATAATATTTATTTTGTATGGATATAATATTTGTAACACACTAAATCCTCATGAAGAGGTGCACTCGCATGTATTAAACACAAATTGTTTATTGTGTACTGTACTAATACTTGCATTATTTGTGTAATTATTTGTATAATACAAACTTTCTATTGACTGCGTATCATGGGCATTTGCAGTTACTAACAATCTCGTTGTTGATGCGACTATGAACAAAAGACAACAAATGTAATAAACATGCCAAGAGACATGCGGAGAGCATGCAAGGGGAATAAAACGACGATCTTGTCGTAAAACGTTGGGACCAGGGAAGCGAGGAAATGAGAGAAGATTCAACCCTCCTGGTGACCCCTACTCCGTAGCAGGGTGGTCAGAAACTAGAAAAAAAGAAACATGTAAAATTAAATTGACGCGTTAATATTCCCGACATGACGTGCCTACAATACTTCAATTGACAGTGTCTGGCCTGAAGTTGTGGTGTTGTATGAAGCTAGTTTCACTTTTGAGACAATGATTTGTTCTAAGAATGGAGTATTCTAAGGGGTCCATCTAGTAAACACAAACGCAAGCGAAAGCGTTGTATAGAATCAATTTTATTTCTCTATGAACAATTATCAGGTAACACATTTAAGTCGAATATTTTTTCTGCTGAAGTACTGTGTGGAAAAGCTTCCATTCTCAAGTCTTCAAGGCATTTTATTGTACATTGGGTGAAATTATCTGCAACGATAAATTCAGTTATTTATTGATAGTGATGTTGAATATCTTCATGCCTTTTTAGTGTCGTGGGTGTAATACCCGTCGTTTGAATACGAGGTCGCAGTCACATTGCAAACATCATTCCAGAATATATTTTCAGGTTTTTGTAGTTAGGCTACTTTTTATGCGAAGATTTCATCGTAGACGTGTTGTAAGTTAGTGCACCACACATTCGTGACTGGACATTTGAACTATTAATTGGTTTAGGATTATCATCCGTTACAGTAGGCAACGTCTGTTCTATCCACCAACAATATATAACACATAATGCATAAATGTTCAGGCACTGGAATTATGTTTTATAGCTAGAGAAAATTCTGATCATATAGATGGTGGTCATTATTAAATCGTAATTTATCGAGATG